TGGTTTAGAATGAGGACACGTTGTGTCTTGCTGGTTGGCAGTGAAGCTGTTTCCCATGTCTCATTAGTATGTGCCGGGAGACCAGGGGCCAGCGCTGTGTCAGGGACGGCGTTTCCAATTGATTTATGTGCCGTTACAGAATTAATGGCGTCTGGACACAGGACCTCATTTTCTTGGACATGCGGTAGGTAATAGTGCTTCTCCTGTATGCTCAGATTGCTTCCCCAGATGGGCTGTGGTGACGGATTCATCCCTAATGTGATTAATCAGAAGCAAAGAGCCTCAATATGTTGGTGCACATGCTCTGCAAGGCCAACTCATCCCGTCTCCCATTGGATGGATGGTTAACCCTCTCCTGACCCTGCTCCTTCTGGCCTCATTGGAGGAGCTGATCTTCAGGTTAATACACAGCAAAGAACCCTTTAGAGGGGCCTAAGTTGAGGTTTTGTCATGGGGGGCGGGGAGGAGCAGCCTGTGAGAACTTTAGCCTGGAACTGGCTGTTCAAATAAGGGGCTAGTTAGTATCAGTCAGCTGACCTGCAGGTGGAGTTACTCATGTAAGCGGTAGGTATTTCTCCTAGTTCTGGGTGGAGGTATTGGCTTGTCTGGTGCCTAGGGAAGGCTCACAAAGTCCTGACAAGGTGGAAAGGACAAGGAAGCCTCTTTGAGCTTTTTGGTCAGTTGTGAGGCTTTCACTTGGAGCCTGGGCACTGTCCCTGAGCTTTACCCCTTTGAGCCATAGCTCCACTTCTGGTTTTCTGGTGGTTCATTGGAGATCTCAGTTTCCCGGACTGTCCCATCTGGGCTGGCTCTGAACTGTGATCATCAGGGATGCCTGGCTTCCCTAGGAGTTCTTAATAGGAATAAATGCACAGCACAACAGACCAGACCTCATTCCCAAAAGGGAGAAGGTCGTCCCTCCACTAAACATCTTCACAGTAAAACAAAGTCTGAATTCATTTTAATGTAATTCATTTGCAGTGCGAGGGCTCCAACCCCAGGCCTCTTATTCATGCTAGGCAAGCACTGCACTTCTGAACTTTTGACTTTTTCACTTCAGGCTGGTGCTCTACCACTTGAGCCACAGCTCCACATCCATCTTTTTGCTAGTTCATTGGAGATATGAGTCTCATTGACTTTTTTTGGGGGGGGAGGGAGCCGGACTGGCTTGAACCATGATTCTCAGATCTCAGCCCCCTGAGTAGCTAGGATAACAGGCACAAGCCCCCAGCACTTTGCTAGCCCTTGCCTTTCTCCAGACAGGGTATTAGCTAGGTAGCTCCAGCTGGTCTCGACCTTGTAATTCTTCTGCCTCAGCCTCCCAGGTGCTGGTGTTATAGGTATAATCCACTACATCCAGCTCAGAGGTCTGAACTAAAGTAATGACTTCCGGTCTTCATCTTTAGCATGAGGTTGCTTTCTCCTATGATCAGAGTGCCCAGTCGATCCAATGCAGTTCTGTAGAGGTGGCTTCTTTCTGAGTGGCTGTAGGTGCAGGTAGGCCCTTTCCCCTCTGTAGTACAAAAGAGAGCCAGATCAAAAAGTTTGTGATGTCAGACTGGAGAAAAGAGCTATTGTTGGTCATATGCCAAGTTGCATTTAATGGTGAAACTGTTTCTGATATCTAAAACAGGATTACTGCCAATACCCAGTGAGCCATACTGTGACTGAAGGCAAAAAAAAAAAAAGAAAGAGAGAAAAAAGAAAAGAAAATCAATAATAACCATATCTCCATTTAAAATTCTCATGTTTTGTACATCATGGGTTTTTTTTTTTTTTTTGGTATTCGTTCCGGTGTGACTTGAAGCTTGTGTCCGTTATTTAATGAAACAACGTTATCAGTGAAGAATGATCAGTAATAATTCCATGTGATTGGAGTTCTTCTCTCCCCCCACCCCCTTCCTCTACCCCACCTCGCCTTTCTATACCACCAGCCAGGCAAGCAAATAATTGGAGAGAAACTCTTTTCATGAAACAACAACAGTGCCTATATAGCGGTATAGAAAACCACAGAGCTGTTGACAGACACCTAAGACTTAAGTCAATGGGGGAGATAGTTCTTGAGTATAATTGGGTAAAAAGACCCAGTGCTGTTGATAACAGAATTTTCTGCTTTTGCTCTTGGTGGGCAGCTCAGTATCAGACATGGCCTACTTAGTGGAGGCGGGGGAGGGGGGTGGGGGGGAGAGTTTATGGCAGCTCAGCAGCAGACAACGCCTGCTGGTGTTGCGGCTCCACTGCCAGCTCTGCCTCTGTAGCCTCCTTGGGTTCTTGTCTCAGGAGTTCAACAAATAAAGTCTATGGCTCCTGGAGGATGAAGGGGAAAGAATTCTATTCGGAAGAGAAGTCTCTAGCTGGGAGGATGCTTCCGTCGCTGCTTGTCTGTCTCTTGTGTGGTCCCTCTGTCAGTCATCCAGCTTCCCTTCCCCGGATGGCTTTCTCTGTCTCTCTCTGTCTGGGTCTCTGGGATGTAGAGGTTTTTGTACCTTGATTGGTTGCTCTTGTTATAATTATGTGTGTTGGAAGGCAAGGTCCCCCCTTATTTGGTGGGGACCCACAACATTCTGATTCTAATCGTAAACCCCTTCCCCCAAGGTCATGGGAAGGTTATGGAAACCAGAGGGCTTCGAGAAGGGCAGAGGTCAGATGTTCCAAAGCAATGTCTCCTGAGCCCCTGGTGTTCTCCTGCTAGGTCAAGGGACTGTCCTGGAGGTCTGGGTCTAACTAATTTACTTTTACATCTCTCTTTCTCTGAAGAAGTCATCCCAAGTCCCATTAAGGAAAGGGACAGTAACAGCTCTGATTGCTTCGAGTTAACAAGGGCTGTTAGTAGAGGAATGGCCGTCAGAGTGTTCTAGAAGTCTATTTGTGGGCTCCTCCTGACTCCTGTAGATGGGAGTTTCCGTCCTTCTGCATGGCCATTTGAAGTTTGATATGCTCTAGGTGAGGGGAAACAAGGGCCAAACATGAGTATTATAACAAAGGGAGCAGAGAACGGAAGGACCGCTGTCCACTCTGGCAGCCCAGAGACAGTAGAGTGTTCAAGCCAGCTCACAGTTAGAATCACTTTGATATCCATTAAATATGAAAATAGTCTATCATAATTTCTAGCAATCTATAATTTAAAAAAATCAATAATTTAGGGCTCTATTGACCAAAATGTTAGTGGAATAAAATGCAGACATAGCTGGGGACATACTCTTGAAGGGGGGGATATTGGGACCTTAGCCTCCCTTCTCTCTCTCTCTCTCTCTCTCTCTCTCCCTTTTCCTCCCTCTCTCCCTCTTTCTCTCTCCCTCTTCCTATCTTTCTCCCTCCTTCCTAAAACATCTCTGGAATCTGCCTTACAAAACATTTACAAAATCCATGTGATATATTTTTCTGTCATATGAATGATCTCTTCTTGACCTTCTCAAATCCTAATTCAGTTTTCAGAGACTTGATGTGTGACAGGTCCGTGTTCCTTCTGGTGGTAGCAAAGGGTCCTGATGACCCTGGGTAGATCTCCCCACAAGCGGCAGCCATGGGACACTAGTATGACCTATAGTGAGAGGTGATTTTGTTTTTGTCTTTTTTGGGGGGGGGCCAGTGAGCTGGAAACAATCTGGGCTGGCCACCTGGATCTTTACGGTGGAGCTAGGAGGAAGCATCTCCCAATGTTTTTTTAAGCTACAGGTAGAGATGAGCTCTCAGCAATATCTACTTCTTTTAGGGTTAAAAAAAATTTTTAGTTGCCTTTCAGTCATGGTGACAAAATAAATGCCAGAGATAATGAACTTAGGAGGAGGAAAGATCTACGATGGCTCACGGTTTCAGGAGTCTTTACCCGTGGTTGCTTGGCTGAGTCGTGAAGCCGCATAGCGTGGTGAGAGTGGGGGCTGGGGAGACGGCAGGAGGAAGAGCTGATCCTCTCATGGCAAACAGGAAGGGAGGCGACAGGCAGGTCTTGGATATTTTTGATCCTTACTTGGTTAGTCCTTGGCTTTGTGTCTCACGGGTGTGGAGTGTGTAGGGTACAAAAAAAAATGCTGTAGCATTGGTTCTGTGCCCAAGGAATGAGTTCATGAGCTCTGTTGGGCGTTTGTTTGCAGTCCACCCTGAGAATCCAGACATGAGCCTCGCATGTTCGTCTTTGCCTTCAGCATGTGGCTGGGGTACCTGGAGGTGGGGGGAGTCCTCTCTCTGAGCAGGATATCCTGTGTCTTCGTGGTGCCATATCCCCCCTATAGCCTTCACGTGGACTTTGCAACACATAGGTATGTAGCTGGGAGGATAGGACCATGCCACTATGCCCAGCTTGGTCTTTTTGTTGTTGTTGGTAGTTGGTTGTGGGGTTTGTACTCAGGGCCTGGATCCTGTCCCTGAGCTTTTGTGCTCAAGGCTAGAACTCTACCACTTTGCGCCACAGCTCCACTTCCACTTACTTCCAATGAACCACTTTTGGGCGGCTCATTGGAAATAAGAGTCTCAAAGCTTTTCCTGCCTGGGTTGGATCTGAACCTCGATCCTCAGATCTCAGCCTCCTGAGCAGCTGGCATTACAGATGTGAGCCACTGTGCTTGAATGGCCCAGCTTTGAGATTAGGTTTGCACCAGCTTTTCCTTTTTTGGGGGGGCTGGTCCGGCCATGGGGCCTGAACTCTGGGCCTGGATGCTGTCCCTCAGCTCTTCAGTTCAAGGCTAGCACTCTACCACAGCGCCACTTCCGGCTTTTTTTTCCTGCTTATGTGGTGCTCAGGAATCGAACCCAGGGCCTCATGCATGCAAGGCAAACGCTCTACCACTGAGCCACCTTCCCAGCCCCCCATTTTGTTTTGTTTTTAACTTGCCGCAGCTGGCTCAGGCTGTGATCCTCCTGATCTCTGCCTCTGCAATAGTTGAGCAACTCCACCAGGCCGCAGCCTTTCATCATGCTTCTCAGCTTGGCAGCGGTCTGTGTGTGAAGAGCAGTGGGGTGGGGAGCGGTTCTGATTGTTCTTCTCTTTGTCCCTCCCCACAGTGGCTGTATCCAGGTGACAATGGCCGCGTGAGCGTCCGCCATGGCCCACCGCAAGCGCCAGAGCATTGCAAGCACGATGCTGGACCACAGGGCCAGGCCGGGCCCCATCCCTCCGAGCCAGGAGCCCGAGAACGAGGACACAGAGCTGCCCCTGGAGGAGGGCTACATGCCGGGCGATCTTCAGCTGGCCACCTTGCGACCCGAGAGCCCTACCCTGGAGGAGCAGGAATGCCACAACCACAGCCCCGATGGGGACTCTAGCTCCGACTATGTGAACAACACCTCTGAGGAGGAAGACTACGATGAGGGACTTCCGGAAGAGGAGGAAGGCATCACCTACTACATCCGCTACTGCCCGGAGGATGACAGTTACCTGGAGGGCATGGACTGTAATGGGGACGAGTACCTGGCCCGTGGCCCCGTGGACACTGATGAGTGCCAGGAGGCAGTGGAGGAGTGGACAGACTCGGCGGGTCCACATCCTCACAGCCACGGGGCTGAGGGTAGCCAGGACTACCCGGGCGGTCACCTGACCATCCCTGAGGATGAGCCCTCCATCTTGGAGGCCCAAGACCAGGAGGAGGACAGCCACCACTTCTGTCCCAGCAAAGATGGCTACCAGGACTACTACCCTACCGAAGCCAATGGGAACGCAGGGGGCGCCTCTCCTTACCGCCTAAGGCGTGGGGACAGGGACCTGGAGGACCAGGAAGAGGACATCGACCAGATTGTAGCCGAGATCAAGATGAGTTTGAGTATGACCAGCATCACCAGCGCCAGCGAGGCCAGCCCTGAGCACGCGCCAGAGCCGGGGCCTGGGGACTCCACAGAGGCCTGTCCGCCTGACGAGGCCTCCCTAGGACCCAGCAGGCATGAGGCCAGGCCCAAGTCGCTAAACCTCCCTGCTGAGGCCAAGCATCCTGGAGACCCCCAGAGGGGGTTCAAGACCAAGAGCAGGACTCCAGAGGAGAGGCCAAAATGGCCCCAAGAGCAGGTAGGTACTTGGGTGACCCCAGGGAAGAGAAAAGAGGGAGGTGCAGAGGGCTGGGATGTTGCCCCTGGCAGATACTAAAGGGAGGGAGAGACCAGACTGCCTTCCAGTTCTAAGTGCAGGCTTGGTATATTTGCTCAATGGCGTGGCATGTTCAAGGCTCTTTCTGGCCATCCTGAACCCACCTGTAAGATTCAGCATCTGATACTGGAAACCTCTCCCTTCCAGGGCTTGTGGGCAGCTGGTGTCACACAGAAAACATTCCCCTTTCTACCATGTGTCCAAGTACAGGTTTTGGCCCACTGCTCTGTATCTGCTATGGGTGGAAAAGTGTCTATGATCTGACTTCCGGCCTCCCCAGTGGCATCCTTTGGCCAGCTGGGATTGGCAGGGGGCTGGAGGGGAGGGGGTGCTGCTCCACCCACCACCTCAGCCAGTGGCCTGAATTGCATTGAGCATTGTCATTGCCTCTGGGTTATAAGTCTCTGAAACCTGCAAGCCTGGGCCTGATGGGCATTTTGCTGTGAATAATTTGAAAATAACTTTTTCTTTTTTCCTTCTGTATCCATGGTCATTTTTCTTTTTTGCCAGTACGTATGTGTGAACTTAGGGTCTTGTGTTTTCTCAGCTTGCTTGCTCACGTGGCCATTGGGACACACACACACACACACACACACACAGAGCAGTTGATTTACACATAACTTCACACAGTATCTCCATGTCCTAAGTCCACAAACCAAACACACGTTTTGATTCTGTAGCGTTTCCCTGATTTCTGTATATCACCAACCCAATGGATGCTTTCTCCAAAGAACCCTCTGATAATGGGATTAAAAAAAAAAGGAAAGAAAAATCAATACATCCTAGCTCACTGAATACGACAGTTAAGGTGAGGTGCGATACGGGACCCCAGCCCACATCAGACACACGCGCGTGTCCCTCGCTGCTTGTGGCAGAAACGCTTGGGCTGGGGTGTGGCTGTTGATTAGGGAAAACTAGCACCAAATAAGCAGAACGGGGCTGCCTTATACCTTGTCCACAAAGTAGGGCGAGAGAAGGAAGAAGAGCCTTCAGGTGAGGCTGAGGGTAGGAATTGAGGGGCACCATGGGGGTCCCCGGAAACTGTCCCCCTCAGCCCCTGGCTTAGTGGCGTGCAGATGCTCTTCAGCTTCCCACAGCCCTCCCCTCCTCAGCCTGCCCCTGACCTGGGAGCTAGCCCTCCTGCATCTGCCCATGGGAATGTGGTTGGTACCCATGCTACTGGCATGAAGCCCTTCCCCAGCTCTCTCTCTGCCTCCAGCAATGGGGAGGGGGTGTTCTTTACACCTGTCTGAACAGCAGCAGGGTCTGTCTGGCAACAGGAAGCTGCTGGCATTGTCCTGCCCTCTCCCCCCGCCTCAGCCTTCGCTTGCCCCGCCCCAGTTCCTCAACTTCCTGTGCTACAGCAGATGACAATATGGCAGACAGTGCAGGGACACTGAAGACAGCTCAGATATGTTGAGAAGGGGTGTGGGATATGAGAAGGTGACTTCTGCGGCCTGTCAGGTTCAGGCAGGTCCCCTGATCCTACCATCTACCTTCATGGAAGAGAAGTTGTGATGGAGCCAGGGTCCAGACCATTAGGATGAAAGAATGTTGAGTAGGAGGTGCAAAGATTCCCAGTGGGCCTCCTCTCAGTTCAAAGCGACCATGCGGTCTACATCTTGGTCCATTTCAGAGACTTCTAGTGAGACTACCAGGTGCTGTCCATGGTACTGACAGCAGCCATGGTACTGGCCTCAGCCAGGCTGTGTAGGCTGGTGAGTATGTGCTGGGCATGCTTATTTAGTAGTAGATAAGATCCCACCTCGGCAGGAGTAATAGGAGGAGATTGTTAAAACTGTTGACTGGGTGCTGGTGGCTCACGTCTGTAATCCTAGCTGTTCAGGATCTGAGGATCATGGTTCAAAGCCAATCTGGGCAGGAAAAGTCCATGAGATGTCTTCTCTCCAATTATCCACAAAAAGCCAGGAATGGAGATATGGCTCAAGTGATAGAGCACTAGCCTATCTAGCCTAGACAGTGCCCAGGCCTGGAGTTCAAATCCCAGGACCAGCAAACTAAACAAAAACAAAAACCTGTTGGGGTTGTTTTCATGAATCATCCCAGGCTATAGCAAAAGTATACCTTATTAGAACATTAAGATGAACTACACATGGAGCCCGGTGCTGGTGGTTCACACCTATAATTTTAGCTACTCAAGAGGCTAAGATCTGAGGATTATGGTTCAAAGCCAGCATGACCAGGAAAGTCTGTCCAGACTCTTATCTCCAATTAACCACCAGAAAACTGGAAGTGGAGCTGTGGCTCAAAGTGGTAGAGCAGTAGCTTGGAAAGGAAAAAGCTCAGAGACGGAGCCCAGGCTCTTGAGTTCAAGCCCCACAACTGACAAAAACAAAAACAAAAAACCCTAAAAAACAAAAACAAAAGACATGGGCTTCCTGACTCACAATAAACCCATAAGCCAGCCATTGAAAATATTACAAGCAGAAAAGGCATTTCATACTGTTAACCTGCTAAACAGCACAGACAGGACACAACATGGTAGATACTGTTTATTTCACTCCTGGTGTATGGCCAATGGGTTTCAGCGCCCAGTGCCACCAGAGACAATTAGACTGCATGTCCGGCAGTGGGACAAGTTCCAAAGTTAAGATTCAAAGTGTAATTTCTACTTTTACATAGCCAGAAGGTTAAAAAAAGCCAAACATTGTAAATGAAGGACAATCTGTACTGTGAAACCCATCATTAAAACAGCAGCTAAGCCGGGCCCCAGTGGCTCACATCTATAATCTTACTTGCTCAGGAGGTTGAAGATCAAAAAGACCCAGTTCTAGGGCAAAATACTTTTTTTTTAAGTCAGCTGGGTGCTGGTGATTCACATCTGTAAGCCTAGCTACTCAGGAGGCTGACATCTGAGGATCTCAGTTTGAAGCCAGCCTGGGCTGAGGAAAGTCCGTGAGACTCTTACCTCCAATTAGCCAGCAAGAAGTTGAAAGTGGAGCTGTGGCTCAAGTTACAGAGCACCAGTGTGAGAAAACTCAGAGACAGCACCCAGGCCCTGGGTTCAATCCCCAGGACTGGCACCAAAAATAAATAAAGTAAATAAATGAGTCAGTAAAAGAGAGAGGGAGGGGGAGGGAAGGAGGGGAAAGGGAGGGAAAGGGATAGGGAGGAGGGGGACAAGACCCCATCAATCTGGGTATGGTAGCTCATGCCTGTGATTTCAGCTAGGGCAGAAAGTAAAAATAGGAGAATCAAAGTCCAAGTAAGCCCAGGTTTAAAAAAAAGATGTGATCCTATTTCAAAAATAACCAGAGCATAAGGGATTGGAAATACGGCTCGAGTTGTAGGGAGCCTGGATAATAAGCATAAATCTCTGAGTTCAAACCCCAGTACAGCAGGACCAAAAAAAGAAAAAGAAGACTAATTCCACTTTGCATATGCATAAAAACTAAACAGGAAGATGTAGTAGACGCTAGCTGGATGATTGTTATCTTCTTTCTATGTCTCCTGGGGGAGCTGTTATTAAGATTCTAGGCTGTGTGACTTCGTTTTAGTGTCTGCAGCGCCGGGAGATTTCTTTTGAGTCTAACCTCCACTGTTGTATTATTTAGAATGAATCATATCGGCTGCCACTGAGGTCTCCTCTTTCCCACATCTTCCACACTGGGCACAATGCCCCGCACAGACTAATAGAGGTTAAATACAAAAGATGCCCTCTGGAAATGGAAGTCTAATATTGACTTAGCGTTGGTCATTGACTTTCCTTGTGGCTCAAGTCTCTTGCTTGCATTCAGATCTCAGGTGTCAACCTCGTGTTGACAGAGCTCAAGGCAAAGTCGGGCACAGCTTGGGGGGGGGTGGAATTCAGGACTTGTCCCAAGGTCAGGCCCCCAGAGAACCCACAGGATTGGTTTTGTCGCCCTAGTAAACAGCTGTCCCCAAACAAGGCAGGGCATCGTGCCCAACACTGGCAGGGGTTTGCGGCATTAGCAGCGGTGGCCACCAAAGCCACCACGTTAGATGGGAATGGTTGAGATTTTCCCTTTGCCTGTATCCACCATGACTGACTGCCGTGGTACAGGAGCTCAGTGCTTTGCTTTAGTATGAAGATGTGTTTATACCTGCAGAAAGCTCCGGTGTCTTCTCTCCCTCCCTCCTTTTCCTCTTCCCCTCACCTGTACTGCGTTCCTCCTCCCTCTCTCCCTTTGTTTATTTGTTCCTTCTTTCTTTCTTCTTCCTCTCACCTTTCTTCTCTTTCCTTCCCTCCTTTCTCTTCTCTTTCTCCCTTTCCCCTCCCTTTCTCCTTCCCACTCTCCTTCTTTCTTTTCTGTCCTTTCCTACCTTGCTCCCTCTCTTGTTTGCTCCTTCTTTCTTTCCTTCCTCTGCTTTTCTTTCCCTTTCCTCCTTCCATTATTTGTTCATTTCCTTTCTTCTTTCTTCCTCTTTCCTTCCTCTTCCTTCCCTCCCTCCCTCCCTCCCTCCCTTTCTCTCTTCCTCCTTCCCTCCCTTCCTTCCTTCCTTCCTTCCTTCCTTCCTTCCTTCCTTCCTTCCTTCCTTCCTTCCTTCCTTCCCTCCCTCTTTCCTTTCTTTCTCTCCCTCCCTCCCTTTCTCTCTTCCTCCTTCCCTCCCTTCCTTCCTTCCTTCCTTCCTTCCTTCCTTCCTTCCTTCCTTCCTTCCTTCCTTCCCTCCCTCTTTCCTTTCTTTCTTCCTTTGTCTATCCTGCCCTTTTATTTCCTGGCCCCCGGATGGGTTCTTCACTTCCTCGGGTCTGGCATGACGGAGGTGACTTTGGTCTTGCCTGTTTGTTTGCGCCCTGGCTCATCCTGTGAGGATGGGCTGACAGGATTGCCACCCTCTGCCTCAGTGATGACCTGTGAAATGTCCAGCAGGGCTTTTGTGGAAACTCCTTCCTGCCCTCCATGAGAGACAGCCTAGCAAAGTGCCCCTGGCTCACACCTGTCATCCTAGCTACTCAGAAGGCTGAGATCTGAGGATCACAATTGGAAGCTAGCCAAGGCAGAAAAGTCAGTGAGACTCAAATAAACTACTCAGAACAGGCTAGAAGTTGTGCCACCATTAATAGCGCTAGTCGTGAGCAAAAGAAGCTCGAGGATGCACCCAGGCCCTGAGTTCAAGCCCCAGGAACTGCACAAAACTAAAACAAAACAACAACACAAAATGCTGCCAGTTTCAGCAGATAGCAATGCAGGGCACAGACTTGTTAGAATTGCAGATGGGTTTAGAGCGTGGGTTGTACAAGATGCGAAGAATTATAGATCTGGTAATAATTATACAAGGTTATATGTGTATTTGGTCCCACTGATTTCTACAATGAACAAATAATTAAGTGAAAATCTAGGTGATGTGTCTTTTGCCACAGTTTTGTTTTTTTTTTGGGGTCCGGTCGTGGGGCCTGAACTCTGGGCCTGGGCACTGTCCCTCAGCTCTTCAACTCAAGGCTAGCGCTCTACCACTTGAGCCACAGCGCCACTTCCGGCTTTTTTCTTTTTGCTTACGTGGTGCTGAGGAATCGAACCCAGGGCCTCATGCATGCAAGGCAAGTGCTCTACCACTGAGCCACCTCCCAGCCCGCCACAGTTTTTTTTTAAAGAAGAAAAAAAATGTATTTCAGATGGATGATGAATCAGTTTTAGTAAAAGTATACCAGAAAATATCTGATGGGGAATTGATCTATCAATCTATCTGTCTGTCTGTCTGTCTGTCTATCTGGTACCAGTCCTGGGGCTTGAACTCAGGGCCTGAACACCATCTCAGCAGTTTTGCTTATGGCTAGTGCTCTACCATTTGAGCCACACCTCTATTTCCAGCTTTTTTGTGGGTGGTGAATTGGAGATAGTCTCAGGGAATTTCCTGCCCAGGCTGGCTTTGAATAGTGATCCACAAATCTCAGCCTCCTGAGTAGCTAAGAGCCACCAGTGCTAGCAGCCCCTACTGAGAGCTGACCCCACCCAAGCCGGGTGGAGGAGGAAGCCTAGGAAGCCTTTGATGGAATTGAGTAGGAATGGCTTGGCAGAGAAAGCTGGGTGTCACCCAATGCAGCCGTTCAGTCATCAGTCCTGGGGGTTTGGTCTCCCTGGATGGGTTCTGTGTGTGATCTAGAGAGGCGTGACAGCCCAGTGGTGACACTATGTTGCTTTTGGCTTTAAGCTGATGTCCTCTGCTTCTCAGCATGTCATTCAGGGGAACGCTGGGAACATTCTCCACTCATCACAGATGGCCTGAGCTGAGTGAGTGGGTGGGCGTGCATGCATGCATGCGCACGCGCCTTTGATGCTATGCTGGCTTCTCCCCGCCCCCTCCCCAAGCAATGTGCGTTATATTCCCGTATTTTTAGTTTAACCAAGCAGAGGAATCAGAATTGACACGTTAAGAAAAATAATAATAAATTCCGGGCTTGAGTTTTACCCCAACTGGAGCCAGGATATGTATGAGAATGATTTCATATCACATTAGTAGTTTGTATTAAGAGCATTTATCTCTGTCTTAAACAGCTGTCCTAGGATCCCAAACTATTATCAATAGGCCCTGCCATACAACCTGTTAATTTTCTGTCCTCAGAGCTTTTCAAAGGGGGTCCTTCCCCCTCCATCTGAAGAGCACACTCCCCTCCACCCCCATCTGCCTAACCCACTGTGTTCTCTGGGGAGACTGAAGGGATCTCATTTGAAGTGTGGCTAGGTCTCTATCTGTAACACAACAAGATTCCAATGGGAGGAGCTGGGAGCCCCAAATAACACTGAATTTCAGCTAGTGAATAAATATCACGTCTCCATCCCCCACCCATTTCCCCTCCCCTACTTTCCCGATCCCCAGGATGAAAGCACGCCAGCTAGATGGGCGCTCCCAAGGAGAAGCAACCCAAGCTTGCCCTCTTGCCTCTCTCCAAAGCAACCTGGCTGTGCATCTTGCGAAGTGGTTGTCATGGTGACGGACCGCCCACTTGGGAGGGAGTTAGTGGAGATGCCGGAGATGCCAGCATAGCCCTAGCAGAAGACTGCACCTCGGGGAACACTCAGTGTTCCTTGTGGCTCCACTCTGAGCAGTCCTATGGGCGGGGCTTGGCGCGTCCACATTCAGCCTGTGTCCTGACAGCCCGAAGTTGTCCAATGGCTAGCATCTTTTTTTTTTTTCCTGTCAGTCATGGGGCTTGAACTCTGGGCCTGGGCATTGTCCCTCAGCTCTTCAGCTCAAGGCAAGTGTTCTACCACTTGAGCCACAGCGCCACTTCTGGTTTTCTGAGTGGCTTGTTGGAGATAAGAGTTTCATGGACTTTCATGCCTGGACTGGCTTTAAACTGAGATCCTCAGATCTCAGCCTCCTGAGTAGCTAGGATTACAGGCATGAACCACGGACACATGGCTGCTGGTGTTCTTGATCATTAACCTGCCTCCATTTGTTGGTTGATTGGTTTCTTTGAGTATTTTTCTGGTTGATGAGAAGGATCTATTCAGGTCCCTGTAAGGCAAGACAAAACTTTAGTGAACGATGTCCATGCAGGTAGCTCACCTGCCGGAGAACTTCTCCATGGGGAACCTGGCTCAAGTGGTAAAGAACCTGCTTAGCAAGCATGAAGACCTGAGTTCAAACCCCCTGCCGCCCTCAGAGTTAACAATGAGATTACCACATGCCCACTTCTGCGATTGTACTTCTGAGTATCTATCCAAAGAATTGTAAGGCCAGGCACTGGAGGCTCATGCCTGTAATCTTAGCTACTCAGGAGGCTGAGATCCGAGGATCGTGGTTCAAAGCCAGCCTGGGCAGGAAAGTCCAGGAGACTCTGATCTCCATTTAACTACCTAGAGAGCTGTAGCTCAAAGTGGTAGAGAGCAAGCCTTGAGTAAAAAGAGCTTAGGGACAGAGCCCCAACCGTGAGTTCAAGCCCATGACTGATTAAAAAATAAAAAGACTTGTAAACAAGATATCAAATATATATATATGCACATACCTCTGGTCTTTGCAGCATTAGTCACAATAACTAAAAGTTGGCAACAACTTAAATTCCTATTGATGGATGAATAAGCAAAAAAAATGTGGTATATACATACAGTGGAATATTATTCAGCCTTAAAAAGGAATTTAGTTACATACATAAGAGTGCATAGACATATATACATATTTGCAGACATGTGCATTTTATGAATCTAAGTCTCATATAGCTAGTCTTTGTGTCCTGGACTACATTCCTCTAATATGTAAACACACAATCTTTAATTTCCCCCATTTACAGGTTTGCAATGGTTTAGAACAGCCGAGGAAGCAACAGCGCTCGGATCTCAATGGACCCATCGAGAATAACAATATCCCTGAGGTAATATTTTCCCCAAGCATTTCGATGGTGACAACAATCAGCCTGGTCAGGACCCCATGTTCTACACCTAGATTTAAACACGGGTTTTTAAAAACAATTCCATATGAACCAGTGTTGCCACTTGGAGTTTATTGTAATGAGCATTCAGTAGGGCGCCGGTGGCTCACGCCTGTAATCCTAGCTACACACAGGAGGCTGAGATGTGAGGATCATGCTGCTTTCATGAGACTGGCTAGTTTTGCCTCCTCACCCCGGGGCCTAGATTCTTCCATACTAGTGGTGAACGGTGCTTTGCAATGAGCTTAGACATTCCGTTCTTTGAGTCAGGGCATCTGAGCCTTGTTGTAATGGACACCATGTTTGTAGTTAGTGCTTCTCACTTTTGTTCCTCCTGTTTCCTGACAGACGAAGAAGGTGGCGTCATTCCCAAGTTTTGTGGCTGGTGAGTGACTTTGAATTTGCTCTTCTGGGGGAGTGGGGGTTACATTTTATGTTCAAGGTGAATGGTGCTTTGTTTCCCCCTTTCTTTTTGTATGATGGTCATTTTTTATCATCTTTAAGTCGTTGAGCAAAAGAGATTTCAATGTGTTGGTTTATGGGGACAATGCGTCTTGATCAGTGTTACCCCTTGCATGTTCTCCCTCATCTCCCCCAGCCCCTCCCCTCAGGGTACCTGATTCCATTCTCACATACGTATGTACATTGGATATTACAACTGCATTTGCCTACCCTTCCTCCCTCCATTCACCCACGCCTATCCCCTAAACCTCACATCCCCCTCTCTCTCCTCTCCCCCCCCCGCCCCACCTCCCACCTCAGGTTCCAGCTTCTTAGTGTTCTTGGTAGACTGTAAGTTGTTCAAAGGAGTTACACCATTGTAATTGTTCCCTGCATACTTTAGTTAATGCACTTGCATAATATGCATATGGCCCTGTGTATGTAAATATCTGTTTCTGTAGCTATAGATATCTATAGCTATAGAGATAGATATTTACAAATTAGATGCAACTTCTACAAGTGAGAGAAAGCATGCATTCTCTTTCTCTCTGAGCCTGACTTACCTTCATATAATTTTTTTCCAGCTTCATTCTCTTTTTTTATTTTGCAAATGACATAATATCATTCCTAATGAATGAGTAAAATTTCATTATATAGATTAGTATATATATATATGTATACATAAATGTGAGATTTGTATCTCACATTTTTCAAAAATCTGTTTGTCCATTGACAAACAGCCCAGTCCATCTGGGCTGTTTCCATACCTTGGCTATGGTGAATAATGCAGCAATGAATATGGTTGTATGAATAGCTTTACTGTATCCTGACTTGTAATCTTATAGATTACAGCTAATTATGACTCCATGCTTTTGATCAGGCTAAGATACAATGGCATCTTTTAGATATCAAATACTGGTGTTATAGGGTAGTTCTATGTTTAGGTTTGTTTTTGTTTGGGGTGTGTGTGTGTGTGTGTGTGTGTGTGTGTGTGTGTGTGTGTTGAGGAACTGCTAAACTCTTCAAGAAAAAAGAAACACACCAAAGAAAAGTACTATTCCCTCCCAAGAATACAAATACCCTGGTGAATGGTGCTTTGCAATGAGCTTAGAGGTTTGGTTCTTTGAGTCAGGACAAGCCCTGAGTGGCTAGGGTTGGGGGTCCCGTGAATTTGCCTGCTTTGATACAAGGAGATCATTCATGTCATTCCACCCTTGCTAATGCCATCTCTAGCGATGCTGGTGATGGAATGAATAGTTGGAAATGTGTCTGTAGAGGCTGCTGATTGTGACTCCATGCTTTTGATGAGGCTAAGATTTAATGGCATCTGAAAGCTCTACGTATGCTTTCACATTCTTCCCTTTGCCCTTCCATCTTTTTTGAAGAGGTTAGTGGTATGTTCCTACATTGAATAAGGAGCAAAATTGATCTTATTCATTTGGGAGCTAAGACTTGCATGATTGCTGAAGGAGCTGACTTTGGGGGGGGGGTCTGTAGGGCATGGGGGTCTTCTGAAGGGCCCCTGTGGGCTACTTCTGGTGGTCCAACATCAGAACTAAGAGCCTCTTCAGTAGGATCTTTCTCTGTGCCCTATTTCCTGCCCCTGCTAATGTATGATAATAAACAATGTGAATTTTATTAATTCTTTCAATAAGCTGCTAATTAATTCTCATGAATATTTATAGGAACCATGTAAATTGGTCTTTAGAAATCAGTGGCTGGAAGCCTTTCGCACTCAGTTTTATGTCTTTATAGTAAATAACTGGAGCCTAAGTAACTGGTGCCCCTAAATTCTCCCCGTTTAAGGGACTAGTGTGAGCCAGACTCAACTGTTTCCAACTGGTTCAAAATGGATGAGCTGGCTTTCTGTTATTCAAATGAGATGAAAATCAGCTTAGAATGGTCAGAACCATTTGTAACCATTTGTGTTTGCAAGTTAAATAGACTGGGCTCTATTTGGAATCAATATAGATAGACTCCAACAGGTTATGCCCAGAAGTTAACATGTTTTTGCTGGTTCCAACTGGCTCAAACTGGTTTCCATCAGGTTACAGCAGGTTACAACTGGCTTGTTGTGTTTTCTTCAGAATTAATGACTAGCAGGAGGAGACAGGCCCCTCCCCATATCACCCCTACATTGTAATGTGTTGGGGCGGCTCCTAGAGTTCCCCGGGACACTATCTATGAGCCACGCCTCTCTGCACTGTGTCCTTTGGTGGTTTGAAGCCACGGTGGACACATGACTGGCATACTGCCCCACTTCACATTGCTGGGGTGGGGTGATTTGCATATTAAAAACTCCCCTGGGCCCTCCAGGCACCAATAGCCCACACCTGTAATCCTAGCAACTCAGGAGGTGAAGGTCTGAGCATCAATCATGGTTCAAAGCCAGCTCCGGGTAGAAACCAGTAAAACAAAATCCAAAACACTAGAAACGGACCTGTTTCTCAAGTGTCAGCCTTGAGTGGAAAAAGCTAAGCGACTGTGCCTCGGCCCTAAGTTCAAGTCCCAAGACTGACACAAAGAAAGGGGGGGAAATGAACGAATTCTTTGCACGGGGATTTGACCTTCTATTAATTTTCTTCGCCTCACTCCTGGGTGATTGGAAGGCCGGCTGTAACTGAGCAGCTTGCTGAAGGGAAAGATGGCTGATGGGGCCACTGTATCTTGAATGGGGAATTCACACCCTTGAGGGGAGGGGAGGGGCAGACTTTTGGGTTCACCACAGAGGTGATTATTAACAACTGGTATGTGTGGAGGACCCTGGAAGCTACACCCCAAGAGTGGTTCTAAGAGACTCTGGGTTCATGAACTGCATGAACTCCACCCACTTCCTGATGGGTGTTTTGTGCCCTGGTGGGACCCAATGAGATTGGAGATGGCCTTCTGCCTCAGGTCCCCTGGCAGAGACCAGCAGTCAGTGGGCTTTTCTGCCTTGTTCCCTTTTGAGTTAATGGCGCTGTGCCCAGGTGAGTCCTAGGGAAGGGAGGGTAATGGACAGTAGTTTCTGTGTGGTCTATTAGATCCACAGCACTTAATTCCCTGTGAATGAATGTTTGTAAACAATGGACAACGTTTATCCATTTCTTACACACACACACACACACACACACACACACAAACACACCTCGGCAACTGGGGTTTTCAGTATATCTTATTGATTTGCTTTGTTCTTGACATATAAAGGAAATAGAAGCCGGCAGCCACAGGTTTTGGTGTTTCTTATTGATTTTCCTTGCTCTTTACATGTAAAGGAATGGGAATGAGAGCTGGCTACTGGGGTTTTCTGTGTTTCTTGTTGGTTTTTCCTTGTTCTTTACATAAAACGAAAATGGGAGCCCTTTGATGCAGATCACAAAAGTTTTCTCCCAGGTTACCATTGGTTTTGTTTTATATTGCTTTTTCTTTTTACTTTGCTGAACATTTTATGATATCAACTCTGTCTTTTTCATTCACAGTTATGAGTTTTTGAGGGTTGCCTGACTTGACCTTCATACACCCAAGATAATTTGTGTGTGTGTGTGTGTGTGTGTGTGTGTGTGTGTGAATACTGGAGCTTAAAATCAGGGCCTGGGCACTGTCCCTCAGTTTTTTCACTCAAGACTGGTGCTCTACCATTTGAGCCACACAACTCCACTTCTGGATTTTTGCTGGTTAATTGGAGGTAAGAGTCTCATGGACTTTCCTGCCTGGGCTGGCTTTGAACCATGCTCCTCAGATCTCAGCCTCCTGAGTAGCTAGGATTTCAGGTATGAACCACCCATAGCAGTCTCTTATTTTGTGATTTATGATCCGTGTCATTACCTGATTGAACTTCTTACTTTTGTATCTCTTCTTATACCCTCCTCATATACTTTCACACAGCTTTTTTTTTCTATAAAGACTTTAGAATCTGCTTGTCTACTTGCATGCTAAAAATTCCTATTGACATTTTTATTTGGCATGCGTTAAATTTATCTAGTTACTGGGAAAGTGTCGGGTTTACAATATAGAATCTTGCCAGCCAAAAAGAATTTATCTTTCCATCTGTTCAAGCTTGTTTATCTCCATCTATAAAGCCTATTCATAAAAAACTAGATACATATCTTTTTTGTCTATTCTTGTCAGTTTATCTCTTTTTATATTGCTTTGGCAAATGTCATCTTTTTCTTTATTTAAAAGACTTGTTGCATTTGAAGGTACCAAGAAAGCTTTTGGGGTGTGTGTGTGTGTGTGTGTGTGTGTGTGTGTGTGTGTGTGTGTGTGTGTGTGTGTGTGTGTGTGTTAAATTTGAAACCATTGGTCTAATGAATTCTCTTATTTTTTTCCAGCTAGATTTTTAGTTGTTTTCTTGTGAGGTTTTTTTTCTTGGCTTATAATCATACCATCTGCAAAGATGAGAAAGATCTTTGCTTTTTCTTTTCTTGTTTTCTGTTACTCCTTCCTGTTGTCTAATTGAATTGGATAGAACACAAGAATAGTTTTATATAACAGTGGGATATACCCGCCACTAAGAAAATAACATCATTTTGAAAAGTCCATCCTTCTCCTTGTTCAAGATTAAAAAAAATTCAAGCATGGGTGAGACACTGTGCTGAACTAACACCTTACATATCTTTAATGTAAGTGTGTCTCCTTTAGTTGTTGGGTTTTTTGTTTTGTTTTGTTTTTTAGGTCGATGGTGTCAAATTTCAGCCTCCTTTCTCCACGTTGCTTTCTCCACTGAATACATACTGTGGTTTTCTGCCCACCATCATTGGGAGGTTCTTGTGTAGACTCCACTGTTAAGATAGATAGCTTTTGTTCAGGATTGTTTGGGCATTTTCCAGTGCTATAATGACCACCTAGATATATGCCCTTTGCCTACCTCTGCAAGGTTTTTTAAATTTATTATTCTTTTCCGGGGAAGTTTATTTCCCAGATACACAGACGATTCTAGACCCGGATGGAGCCTGGCTTTGCCCA